ACGATCCTCCTGCCTCAGCCTCCTGAGTGCTGGGATTACATGTGTGTGCCACCACACCTGGCTCTATCTCTTTTTTTTGTTGTGTTTTTTGGGGGTGGATTTTTTGAGACAGGATCACACTATGTACTCCAGGCTGGCCTCAAACTCATGCCATTCCAACTGTCTACCTGATTCCAGCCAAGCTCTGGTCTTCTCTCTCCCAGGGATCCATTTCCTTCTTGTTTGTGTTTTATTTTGTCTATTTTTTTCTTTTTTTTTTCTGGTACCAGGAATCGAACTCAGGACCTCGTGCTTGCCAGGCAGGTGCTGTGCCACTGAACTAAATCCCCAGCCCCTATGTTTTATTTTGGTTTGGGCTTTCTTTTGAGACAGGGTCTCACTATGTAGTCCAGCTTGGCCTTGAACTCACTACGTAGCCCAGGCTGACCTCAAACTCATGGCAACCCTCCTGCCTCAGCCTCCTGAGTGCTGGGATGATGGATGTGCACCATCACTCCTGGCCTCCATTTCCTTCTTGCCCAGGGCATGAAGCACCCATGGGCTCCAGAGTGCAAAGCTCCTTTCCTTCCCAGTTGGGGGACCACTGGGCCTCAATTTCCCTGTCTGTGCCATGGGGACATGGACAGGCCCAGCCTGTAAGGCCATGCTGAGCTCGGCGTGGGCACACAGCTATGGAGCATTCAGGCAGCGCCCGCTATGCCCTGCTCTGAACTCCTCCGTGGCTCCCGGGGCCATCAGGCTGGCCCACCGCATCCCCCCAGCGGGGACCCAGGCGCCTCCCCGCTCCTGCCCTGCTGCACAGGGAGGGATTGGCACACTTCCTCCTCCACCCGCCTCCTCAGGGCCGTTTGCGGCCGCCTTTCAACACCAGGATTCTCAACGGCTGCCCAGGTTCTCCCCACCCCCGCCCTGCTGGCTGCATGGGGAAACTGAGGCACGGTCCACGAGCAGGTGGCCCCCACTCCTGTGGCAGGAGTATAGGGGGTGGTGACGCCTGGACGTCCACCCGAAGGTGGCTCCCATGTAGTTTTCCTTGTGCTGCCATGTGGATGTCTTCTGTACACGGTGCAGCAGGCAGCCGGGCTGCACCTCCTACGGGGCAGGAGCGCTTGTGACCCCCATTCCCAGCCCAGGAAACTGAGAGCTGGAGGAGGATTCCAAGTGCCCTGTCAGGGAATGCGGGTGTGGTGGTGCACACAGTCATCCCAGCACTCAGGAGGCTGATGCAGGAATACTGATATGGGTCTGAGGCCAGCCTGGGCTCCCTAGTGAGACCATGTGTCCAAAAACAAACCAAACTCCCCCACAACAACAGAAACAGAAAACCAAACATTGGGAAAATGTGGGAAAGACAGTGTTACCACCCAGAAAATTCCCTTTTAAAAAAATAAAATAAAATAAATAGGATCTCATGATGTAGTCCAGTCTGGCCTGGAACTCAGAGATCTTCCTGCCTCAGCCTTCAGAGTGATGGGCTGCCTGGCGTGCACCACCAAGCCCAGCTTACCACTCAGAAAAATCTTTGCCAACATGCAGCCGCGTCTGTGAAAACATGAGTCAATTTCAGAAAAACATTGTGACTAATAGCAGCACAGACAGCAAACGGGCAAGAGCGAGCGCGGGGGCGCCAGCGGGGCTTAGGGACTGCAGCCTCGCCTTCCCCACTGGAATGAGCCGCCTATCAGCAGGTCACGTTCTATCCTGTTCCCAATGGGTCCCTGACTGCAGGGTCACATATACAGTAGGTGCTCAGGAGGTGTTGAATACATGTGCAGTATCAAATCCTGTCATTCGGGGCGTGGCAATTTTGGACAGGGACCTAAACTCTCCGGGCCTCAGTTTCCCCATGTGGAACTGAGGATAAGCCCGTCTCCACGCCACAGGGGTGTGTGCGCTGCAGGAGAGTCCTGCACACAGCAAGCGCTGCGTAAGTGCGCGCGCAATCAGTTCATCCCCAGCGCCCTCCAGCCATCGGTCCCTGCCAGGTTCGCAGGCGAAGGGGGCAAGGCCGGGCGGGCAGCGGGAGGGAAGGGACAAGGAGTGGGGACGTGGACGAGGACAGGCGGACTCCTACCCTCCTCCCACCTCGCATCCCAGCTCCCGCCCAGGAGCCTTTGTCTCCTCGCTCTGGCGCCTCGGGACCTCGCCATGGAAACGGGCGCGCGCGCGGCAGGCAGGGGGGCGCCAGGGCGCCGGGGGGGTGGGGATAGGACGTGGGGGGACAGGGGGACGAGGAGGCCGTGAGCGCCCGGAGCCTCCTGGACCCCGAGCCCAGCCCGCGCCCGCCCCGGGAGCACGGAAGAGGCCGGCGGGGAGAGCGAGAGGGGGCGCCTGCGTCCGCGGGGAGAGCGCCGGAGACCGGGCCCCGAGCCCCCCAGGCCCTGAGACCCTGAGACTCGGAGGAGGCGGTGACCCGAGCTGGGGACCGGGGCGGGAACGGGGGCGGGGACGGGGCGGGACGGCGCGCCCTG